GGCCTTTGATTCATTTAGACTTAAGTTTTGTGCATGGCAGTAGACATGGATCTATCTGCAGTCTTCTACATGAAAATACCCATTTATGCCAGCACTGGAAATGGGCCCTGGTTTTCCTAGAACTGTGGGTGGGGCAGTAGACTAGAGGGCTGTGGCTCCTGCTGCTGGGATGGAAGACACAGCAGTAGACCCCAAGCACCGGCAGCCAGTCTAGTCCTAGTTCCGTGGGTGGTGCAGGGAATTCTGGTACCTTGGCTCCTGCCGCCTCTGCCAGGTTGGAAGCTTCAGTGGCAGAACCCAGGGCCAGTCTTGGTGAAATTTTTCCCTGTGAGTAAATAGTGTCCTTCCCTATTTCTTCTAATTAGTTTTGGTGTGGAGTATACTTTGTAAGATATTAAGATGGCTATATCTTTTCCATTTGCTTGGAAAGCTTATTTTTCTATCCTTTTGCTCTGAGGTGATATCTGTCCTTGGTGATGAGATATGTTTCTTGGATCCAGTAGAAAAACAGATTTTGTTTTATAATCCTGTTTTAGTATGTATTTTTATTGGATAATTGAGATAATTAATATTGGAGCTGCAGAATGTGGCTGCATTACATGGTAAAGAATGTTAAAGAATGCAGATTCCTCATGTACAAATGAGAATACTATTTTGTTAGTCCTTCAAGGACAGAGCTCCAAATTCATTCTAATAATTGAATGCTCTACAGCTAGAATCTGTATATCTTCATTAGAAACTGAAAGTCTTCATTCTCTAAATGTAAGTGGACTTCGTGAAATATCTTATTACTTTATCAGGGTTATTGAGTGTGAGTTATGAGTGAAAATTTTCTCAACCATTTATTGCCCCATCACAATGTGCAGGATATGTAAACAAAGGGATTAATCAGCTAAATATATGAGAAGATAATAGTAGTCATGAGTCAGAATGAAAAGCAAGGGACTAGCTTCCTTTTCAGAAGAAAAAACTTCAGACATGTAGAAAACAAACAAACAAATACTAATAAAAATTGTATTCACTTAGAAGGATTCAGAAAGTGGCTCAATGTAAAAGTACTTAGCTTAGCCAGGTGTGGTGGCACACACCCTTAACCCCAGCATTCAGGAGGCATAGGCCAGGAGATCTCTGAGTTCAAGACCAGCCTAGCCTACATAGTGAGTTCCAGGCAGTCAGGGCTACAGAACTCAGAGAAACCCTGCTGCAGGGGAGGTACTTACTGTGAAGCCTGGTGATCTGTCTTTCTTAGAACCGTCTTCAGGTGGAAGGAGAGAACCAATCCCATGAAATTGTCCACTTCGCACATCCTCACACAGATTCAGTGTTCCTTCCCTATTCAGAGTGGTCTTCAGTTAACTGAAAAATGTTTCAAATAAGTTGAATCACAGGCAACGGGAGCTGTAAAAGCTACTACTCCCCAACAAATAGAATCAAGAAGAACCTTTCAAATTTCCACTCCATCTTTCACTCCCCAAATACTACCAGGCAAGGCCAGTCGCTATTGAAAATACCACCAAGCCAGCGCTATCTAAAACACATTTGGTAGTGTGCTAGTTTAAAGAACAAAAGACACCTTATGGTTTAGAAACAGACATCACATAGCGTTACACTTCAGACTCCTTCCTTCCGTCCGTCCTTCCGTCCGTCCGTCCGTCCTTCCTTCCTTTTCTCTTTCTTTCTTTTTTCTTTTTCTTTTAAAGCAGGGAGCTGCCCGTAAGATGACTAAGTGCTGTGTAGACAAGAAGAACGCCCTGCACTAGAAGTGGCTCTTCGTTATCATCTGTGCCTCCCTGCTCTTTACAGCCCTGGCTCTCCTTTTGCTGCATTCCGTTTTTCTCTCATCTCCAGGCAGCAGCACCCTTTTCACATTTTCCCTTCAGCCCAGCACCTTCCTCTCATGACACTGCTTGTCCTCTGGCCACAGTCATTTCAGCATTCCCACTGGATAAGCCAGGGTGTTCTCCTGTGGTTGGAGATGCTTAGGCATCCCCACTGGATGAGCAAGGGTGTTCTTCTGTGGTCAGCAGGTGGTGCTCAGGCATCCCCATTGAATAAGCCAGGGTGTCCTCCTGTGGTCAGAGATGCTCAGGCATCCCCATTGAATAAGCCAGGGTGTCCTCCTGTGGTCAGAGATGCTCAGGCATCCCCATTGAATAAGCCAGGGTGTCCTCCTGTGGTCAGCTAGGGATGCTCAGAACAAGAAAGTCAAAGGAGGCTGCCTGAGTGTGCTGGTGTCCTTGAATATACATTTATTTCATTTTTCCTCTGGAAGGGTTCTAGGACTTCATCTCTCTTTTGTAATGAGCATGGTCTGCCTTTGCTGTCTCTTCAACTCTTCCTTTTCTTCAGAAGATAAGTGCACTTTCTGAGCACTTCTTAGGAAACTCTGGAGTTGACAGAAGCACCAGGTTCATCTCTCATCCCAGCTGGCAAGTTTGCACAGAGTTCCTGTGCGGACATAAGTGTAGTAATTCTTCTCTTTAGAGGCTCCACCAGGTGATCAGGGATACGTAACGCTAAGTGATAGAAGTTGACAGCATTCCAGTTAGAGCTACATAGAGGGAACCCGCAACCGCTCTGTCCAGTCTGAACGTCCCCGCAACCGGAAGTAGCGGAACTCAGCTTACTTTTGAAATGTGTAAATGCATATACATTAATAAGTATGTGATACTCCTTTAAACATCTAGATACTGTGTGTACTGCTTAAACAAGTTCTTGTCTCTGTTCAAATTTGTTTATTGGGGTATAGTATAGAAATCTATTGCAACCTGGGCAGTGAAAACAACCTGTATTGTTTGAATGACACCAGGACAATCAGAAAGGAATGGTTTGGGCTCTACATGACAAATTTATTAATGCTTTTTTTTTTTTTTTTTGGTTTTTCGAGACAGGGTTTCTCTGTGGCTTTGGAGGCTGTCCTGGAACTAGCTCTTGTAGACCAGGCTGGCCTCGAACTCACAAAGATCCGCCTGCCTCTGCCTCCCAAGTGCTGGGATTAAAGGCGTGCGCCACCAACGCCCGGCAATTTATTAATGCTTTTAAAGCACTTTATTTTCTCTTTCTATGAGTATAATCAAGTAAATTTATGTTATTTTTTTCAAGACAGGGTTTCTCTGTCTGGCTGTTATAGAACTTGCTCTAGACCAGGCTAGCCTCAAATTCAGACAGAGATCTGCCTGATTCTGCCTCCCAAGTGTGGGATCAAAGATGTATGTCACAATGCCCAGCGAGTTTATACTTTTGGTGGGGGGAGGAGGAGTTGAGACAGGGTTTCTCTGTGGCTTTGGAGGCTGTCCTGGAACTAGCTCTTGTATGAGATGGGAATCAATGCAATATGGAAACTAATATATTTATTTACCAGAGAAAGAACTTATACACAAGCAGGAAGATCAGAAGTGTGGCAGGCTTCCAAGAGAGAGGGCTTTTGATTTTCCTTTCTTTTTATATCCTCACCTGTTCCAAGTATTGTGGGCTCACCCCTACACTTGTAGACCAGGCTGCTCTGGAACTCACAGAGATCCACCTGCCTCTGTCTCCCAAGTGCTGGGATTAAAGGCATGCGTCACCACTGACTGGCTGAATTTATACTTTTTAATGTGACATTTCAAAAATCTACTATATATTTGGATCCTTTCATTAAATAGAAAACACTCATGTACTTTTCATTTTAGAATGGAAAATAAAAGATTTATATTAGTTCTCATAGATTACTTTTCTGTTAGCTGCCTTGGTGATTGCAGTAGATTTGAACCAAGTCAGAAGTTGTTCTCACAAAATCAATGTATTCTTTGTTGGATACAAGTGCAGTTTATTCACATGAGTTCTGTTTTGTTGAGATTGGAATTACTTGAAAAATGCAATGCTAATTCATTATAAAATTCATATTATCTTCCCTGTTGTTTAGCACAGATGCTACCCAGTAATTACCTCCAGTTTGTATTACCAGAATCCTTATTTTAAACTGTAAGTGGCAAAGTTCATGTGCATTTTGATCCTGAATGTGATCTGTTTTTACACTTATGGAAGCGGTTGGAAGCAAGGTCTGTCCATGTGAGGTGAAGTGAACAAAATGATGTTGACAATTATCTCTTTAGCTGGCTATTGTAACTTCAGTTATTTGCATATTAGGATAAAGGCTTCTCTTGCCTACTCTATGGATTGTCATCTAATTTAAACCTTTCACCTTTATTTAATGTTTACCTTTATACCCTTTGACATTGTACTGGCTGACCCAAGGTCTTAGAGTTGCCTTGAGTGGAGGTAGGGCAGACACTATCTGGATAGTTAAAATCATCATGAATTACTTCTTTAAAATTACAGAGTGCTAGTTTTTAAGGAGATTTAAAAACATTTTATATTCTTTTGGCAATTTCATACATGTATACAATGTATCTTGATAATATCTACTTCTAACTTCTCTGCTTCCACTCCTCCCGGACCCCTCCAGCATGTATGTTCTTTTTTATGTTGTACTTAGAACCCACTAAGTCCAATTAGTGCTGCCTACATGAACATGGGCAACCTACCAGTTGTCACACTCTGGGAGAAAAATGAGTCTTCCTCTGTGGATAGCCATCATTTGTCAAAGCTTCCTCAGCCTTGGTTGGACGTTTTCAGCCCCTCCCTCATCCATGTTGGAATTATTGACTAGCTTGATCTGTTCAGGTCTCGTGCTGGTAACCATAGCCACTGTGCGTTCATGAGTGCAATGACTATGTCATGCTCCCAAGACAGCATTTCACAGCACAGCACTGGTCCTCACCCTCCAGCTCTTACATCCTTTCTGCTCCCTCGTCTGTGATGCTCCCTGAGCACTGGGGCATTGATACTGATGTCTCATTTTGGGCCGAGTACTCAAATCACTTGTTCTCAGCACTCTGACAAATTATGAGTCCCTGCATGGACTGCTCCTCACTGCACAAGAAGCTTCTCACACCAAGTGTGAGAGCATCACTAGTCTATATTAAACATAATAGTTAGAAGGTAATCTGAAGGCCCTAGTCGCCTGCAAGACCAAGATGGCAGCGAGACTCAGCGCCTTCCTCAAGAATGCCTGGGCGGAGCATCCGGTGCTGGTGGTGTCTTTCTCAGTCTGGGGCCTCGCTATAATTATGCCCATAATCAGCCCCTACACCAAGTATGCCACCATGATCAACAAGGCCACACCCTACAACTACCCAGTACCTGTTCGAGATAATGGGAACATGCCCGATGTGCCCAGCCACCCCCAGGACCCTCAGGGCCCAAGCCTGGAATGGCTGAAGAACCTGTGAATAATACTGCTGATGGACTACTTCCCTGTTGCCCCCCCAATAAAACTGTGAAAACCAAAAAAAAAAAAAAAAAGAAGGTAATCTGAAAACATGTGTCTTTAGCAAAACAGTAGTGGGTTGCCCCCTAGGGCCCACGCCCTCCCTGGATATAGGCTTTCGGCCAGGTTTACAATGCCAGGCATGAATCGTTTGGGGAGCTGACTTTGAATCTGGTCAGAAAACAGTTGGTTACCCCAGTGACAGTCATTGCACCTGTGGGTGTATCTCTCCCGGTTGATGCTGAAGCATGCAGGTTCTACCGCTGTGTAAGTGAACTGGTGGCCTTTCTCCCTCAGCTGTCACTTTGAAAGCTGTCCAAAAGGGAGGCAGTTTTCAAGTCAATTCTGGTTTGGTTCCTCTGTGTCCTGTAACCAAAACATGCTGTGTCTTCAGCAATAAAATCTTCCCATCTAGCTATGGGAATGGCAGTGTCACCAAGAGGCATGGCGATAGAGCCTGTGTTGTTTTGAAGGGGATGCATACCATTTTTCAGTGATAGCAGGTTTCTTTTTAAAGCTTAGTATTATTAAATATCTTCCAATTTTCAATATCTTACAAAGTTACAGTACTTTGTCAAAAAAACCCCTTGAGTTATTTAAAACACAGATGTACACTATATAACAGTTGCTGACTTTATTTTCCTGATGGGACCAGTTTCTAATTGTTCTTGGAACATGCATTACAAAAGTGAATCGTCCGTTATGTTAGGTTACAAAGTAAGGATGTGAGGAAGGGAGGATATCTTTTTTTTTCAAGAAGAACAAAGTAATTTCTGAAGAATCCCAGTCCAAATCTTCCCCACAATGGTTGGAGCAGCATATGAAATCTCAATATGAGCTTCAAAGACCCATCCATGAAGGATCGGAAAATGCTTGCAGAGGAGGCTGATGCTGAGGAGGAAGATGGCTCTGTTGTCCGTTCCCATGCTCCCCAGCTGGGAAAATGGAAATCGAAAGTTTATTTATTGTCTTTTAAAGTTACGAATCTAAGCCAGCGGGTTTGTCGTGGGTTTCCATAACACCCTTTCTTACATCCTTTGCATTGGCTGATCCCTCCCTTACTGCATTCTCTCCCATCACCTGCTCTCAGACCTGCCCAAGCCTTTAACAAGGGGATTTTGTTGGCAGCCTCCAGTGATGACTTTCATTTACTTTGTGAAAAACTAGAGAAAAAACAAAGCCCATAAAAGTGAAAACATGTAAGGGATAATGAGGCTAAGAGAAATATGGCTGCCTCGACAGCAATTTGAATCAACCACATAGCCCAGGTCAGGTCCACATCAACTTATTATACATGAGGAGATTTTTAGTTTTTTATTACTGGAAAGTACAGTGTTTGGTTGCTGTTAAAGTCAGCTCTCCTGTAACTCTAAACAGCCTGAAGCTAGGCAGCCAGCTGTTTTTGTTTTTGTTTTTTTTAACAGTGTTTGTTTTTAAGGCAGAATAGGTAAACATGTGGGTTTTAAGGATAGGTAGATAAACAGTTTTGACAATAAAACCCAAATCTTGAAAACTAGCCAATTACAATCACGGCCAAGCATTCTTATCCAAAATGAAAACAGTCAAACGACTGCATAGTGCATTTATAATTGTATTGGATATGTATTTCATCTTGGGGCTGATACTCTAAGGACACATTCTTACTTCATTTCGAGCTGTGTTGATCTTTGTCTCACCAAAGTGGGAAGGAATGGCTTGATGGAATCAGTCACACACGTTCTCTTTGTGTGCTTTCGTGATCATGATAGAATGAAGGTTAAATTCCATGAGAATGAAACACATCCTCATTTACTGTACTGCCTTTGACATGTTTTACTTTGTGCTGTTATTACATAGGAAAGAAATTTCAGAGCTGGTGATTAATTACTCATAGTGCATCTCAAACACGTTTTCCCTTAAAACAAAGTGTTGATCTGGAAGCCACACAACACACACACACACACACAGACACACACACATGCACGCACGCACACTGTACTACAGATAAGAAAATGTAGATCTCATTGAGGAAAGTGACTTTTGCTAGGCCCTGTGCCAGTTAGGTTGGACCTGGGACTAGTGAGTACTTCTGCCAGGAGGGCAGAATTGTTGCGACTTGTTTTCTGTCACTCTGGGATTTTCCACACTCTCCTTTCCTTTGTCTTCCTTCCTTCTTCCCCTTCAGTACCTGAAGACCCCGAGCTCAAACATTAAGACTATTTCTCACCATAGCCTTCTGCTTTTAGATCTCTGTGGTGCCAGACCTTCCTGTGGTGGGTTGGCCCTACAGCCTCTTCATGGTCACTTTGAGCCTAGACCACCCTGACCTGGGGAGAGTCAGCAAGATTAGATTTTCTCAAAGTTTTCTACTGTGAGTGGAAATGGATATGGGATGGGACTGGGGCTGTAACTCTTAGATATCCTCTAAGACCATCCATTGAAAGCATACAGATAGGAAAAATGACACTGGTCACCTCAGAAGTTGTTTATATAGTTACTAGCATGTACCATTCAGCCACATGACCCTGATTCTGCTGACCTCTGCTAGTTTTGTGTGTAAAAGATTAGATCTTTCATGTTAAACAAGACTGAGTAACAGGGCTGCTTGCTATTTCCTCTTAGTAGATATATTTGTTGGAAAGCCTTGATCTGTTTTTCTCAAACTGAATACCTGTATTTTTTCTACTTGGCTAGAAGTTAGGAGAATAAAAGATATTACACATATAATATATAATATTTCTTGTTTTGTGTGGTGAGTTAGGGCCTGGCTGGTAATTCTCAACAGATGGGATTGTGTCTTTACCAAGAATTCTGCCCCTCCCCCAATTCCAGGAGGGGAAAGTCAGTGCTTTAGATGTTATTTACATGACGTTAATGGATTATTGTGATAACTTTCCTCACATAAATCAACACATTAGTCATCAGAGTTATTCTACCTTGTTAATAAGCTAAATCTCTCATTCACCCACCTTTTAAGAGGTAGTCTGTCTTCTTTAGCCTTTATAGATGATATCATCAATGAAATTCTTGCCCTTTTTTTTGGCTCACTACAAATTTATTAGGCACCCAGGAGCAGATCATAATGGAGCAAGACCTCATCATTTCAGCTAGATTTCCCCTCAAGAGCATTTCAACTCCTAAGCTCTTCATCTCTTAATCCTTAGAAATAGTGTTATGAAGACATGAAAGGTTGAGTCAGCTGAGATACCTTTCATTGTTTTTATTATGTTATGGAGACCCACCTCATTGCATTGTCTTTAGCAGTCAATTATTCTGGAAAGTGATTACTGACTATTATTGTGGTAATGGGTTTTTACGTATGCCTATCTTGCTGCTCTTTGGGGTTAAGAGAAGAGACAATAAATACTCATTCACCAGGGGAATTTTGAAAATGCTAAATGTAATGCATAATTCATAGAAACTGTCACTAGTATATCAAATCAGGTTATCCAAGCACCACGTTAAAAAGAAACACGGAGCAAGTGACAGGCCTGACAGAACTAGTTTGGGTTAGCTTATAGATACAGATAACCAGGGAACCCAAAGTAACAATGGCTTAGACTACATCAAAGTTTATTTCTTCCTTGTTCAAAAGAAGGTCTTGTAAAAAGGTTGTGCAGGAGAGATATGGCATCTGGCAAGGTCAAGATCTAGATTCCTGTCCGCTGATAGCCCCAGCTCCTGTGATCCTCATTCCCACGGTCATCTTGAGTCCAATATGGCTGTACCAGATATTTATCACATCTGCATTCTTGCTAACAGGAAGCCATTGAATAAGAGAAGCACATGCCCAGAGTTGCTTGTAATTTTAGCTTATATTTTATTGACCCCAATTTTCAGCATACGAGCATATTTAGCTCCCAAAGAGAAAGGAAAATAAGATCATTGTTGTAGGAAGCCATGTGTAATGTGTAAATTTTATTGTTCTGAAAAAGGGGGAGACAAGTTATCAGGCAGTGTATTAACTTGTGGGTGCCTCAGTCTTCTCATCTGTACAATGGAGCTAGTAGTGCTACACAATTCTGTGAGGACAATATTATTTTTAAAATAATATTTGTATTGTGTTTGAATACACACACTGTGCACTTCATTTTGAGTGCATGGGCACTCACTGAAGCCCATCAGATCCCCCGAAAATGGAATTAAAAGTATTTACGAGCCTCCTAATGTGGATTCTGGGAGCCAAACTGGCTCTCTGAAGGAGCAAAGTGCCCTTATCTGCTGAGCAATCGCTCCAGCTCCAAAGTTATCCTAAATGAAGCAACACATAGTGAAAAATGCATGCATTACACTTAGGCTCTTAGTACTCATTGCTACATCAAACCCTGCAGAGCCGAATGAGCTGCATTCCCATTAGCAGTGGGTACCAGTGTGCTTCTGTCTCTCCACCAGCCTCGTGCATTTTTGATTAGCATTTGATAGCCTTTGAGTTTTTGCTAATTTGAAAGTTCAAAGGCTTTCTGGTACTTCTTAGTAGTGGAAACTGTCTTCAGAGGAAGCCTCCGGTGTAAGTTCAGTTTCCCAGAGAGCATGTCTGCAGAGCCTCATTGGGAAGGAGGGCCAAGAATCTAATTCATCAGGTCAGACTCCTACTAGTAATCTCTCTGCTATGAGGAAGTTTTTCATCCATTCATGCCACTGCATATTGGGAAGCAGAAATGGAACAATGAGGTTCCTGCTTTCTTTTGCTTAAAATCTAGAAGGAGAAGACAGAATAGACAAATTGACGATCCATTATATTATAGTCAATGAGTTAAGGAAAAATAGCTGTAGGGTTCAAGTGGCAGAGAGTGATGGAAGTTGAGAGTCATTTGAATAAGATAGTCAGGGAAGGGTCTTAAGAGACCAGGTCATTTGAGCACACATCTGAAGGAAGAGTGGGGCAACGCGTACCCTTTTGGAATGGGAAAGGATTGATCCAGACAGAGAAGGGCAACTGCAGTGTCCTAAGGCAGAAGTGTCCATGTGGCATTTGAGGAACCGGAGAACTTTGGATGGGGAGATG